TATAGAGGTACAACCAAATATAATACAGTCAGCCCTTTATATCTATATATTTTGCATCCATGGATTCAACCAACCGTGGATCAAAAATATTTTTTTAAAAAATGAATGGTTGCATCTTTTCTTCTTATCATTATTCCCTAAATAATACAATATAGCAACTATTTACATGGCATTCACATTGTATTAGGTATCATAAGTAATCTAGAGATTATATAAAGTATATGGAATGGGCCAGGCACAGTGGCTCATGCCTGTAATTTCAACACTTTGGGAGGCCAAAGCAGGAGGATCACTTGAGCCTAGGAGTTCAAGACCAGCGTGGGCAACATAGCAAGATGCCTGCCTCTCCAAAAACTTTTGAAAAAATTAGCTGGGTGTGGTGGTGCATGCCTGTAGTCCTACCTACTAAGGAGACTGAGGCAGGAGGGTCACTGGAGCCCAGGAGTTCAAAGCTGCAGCAAGCAATAATTGTGCCACCACACTCCAGTCTGGATCACAGAGATCTTTTCCTCTAAAAATAAATAAATAAATAAAAATAAACAATCAAAATAAACAAAGAAATAAATTTTTTATTCTCCCCCAAAAAAGTATACGGGAGAATATGTGCTTATGTTATACATAAATACTATGCCATTTTATATAAGGAACTTGAGCATCCATGGATTTGGATATCTGAAGGACGTCCTGGAACCAATCCTATGCAGATATTGAGGGACAACTGTATATGCAAAGCACTTAGCACAATGCTTGACATGTAGTAAGAGCACAATAAACATCAGCAATTACTATTTATCCTACAAAGAACCATTTTTGCGATGAGGAAAACTTGAAGTTGAAAGAGGCCATGTAACTTTCCCAACGTTATTTAATAAATGAAGGAGTCTAAAGTTTTCTCTCAGCCACTCTCCTCTATTGCCTCTACAGTGTGATTTGTGCATTTATGAACAAGGCTTGGGTGCTATAGGAGCACAAAAGAGTAGCATCTAACCCAGCCTTGTAGGAAAGGAGGTGGGGCATGCTTCTAGAGGAGGAAGGGCTTCAGCTGAGCCTCAAACATCAAACAAGAATTAGACAGAAAAGGAGACAGGAAAGTAGAAGCTAGAGGTTGGGGGCAGGGTGAGGGTATTCTATCCAGAGATAGGAGCTTGTCAAAGACATGGTGAAATGAGAAATAGCAGGTCCAGGGAACTGAGGAATGGGTAAGGATGACACCAAAGGACCACCTGTGTTGGGATTACAGCTTTTGCTCCACTTCGTCTATCAACATACAACTTGTGGAATACAGGATGATGTCACTGCTTTCTCCCAACAAGCCCTTATCTTTGAGTTCACCCTCCAGTTCATCTTTGCTGGTCTGAATTAGGTTCAGAGGGGTAAATCCTCTCCATACTCCTTCTACTTTTTGAAAGATTAATTCCTTATCTCAAAGATGAGACTTGCAGCAAATGTTCAGATGACTAAATTCCCATCTCTAATCTACTGTACCCCTCTTAGCTTTGTGATCTATTTGTGGATGGCTCCCAAAATGTGCAAGTTCTCTCTTAACCACCTGGTATGGATTTGTCTTCTGTGCATTTAATATCAAGTTTTCTTGAATATTCGTCTCTTCAGTCTATGCCCCTTCTTGAGCTAGAAACATATGGAACTTTGTTCCATATGTTGGTTTACTCTCTGCTAAATAAAAATGGACTAGTTATTTTTTCTAAAATAATCCCCCTTTAAAATTTAAAAAAAATCCTTTGTTATTAAGATTCTAGGGTTTGTCAGCAAGTTTTTCTATACCTGTGATGACTTTATTATAGACCTAGCACCAAGTAATACACCCCCACCACCACCAATGGTGGTCCCTTCCCTGTGTATTAAACTGAGTTTAGAAGTCACAGAGCCTCCAGCAGATGTCTCACCAGAATATTCTTTTCCACCTCACATGCCAGTCCCTCATTTTACCTGGGCATGCTTTGCAGCAGGCCAGCTTCTCCTTATGACTGGACCAAACTGTAACATTTTGAGTACCATGTTGAGGATATTCTCACTACCAACCACCAAAATGGAGGAATGATCTTTCCTATCCCTCCCCCTTTTCTTCTCTTGAACAATTTTTATCTATAGGGTCTCCCTAACTAGAACATCAGCACAGTTGAAGGGACATTTATTTATTTATTCATTAATTTATTGTTTATTATTTATTTATTTACTTATATATAAAGAGAAACAGGATCTAGCCCTGTCACTCAGGCTGGAGTACATGAGCATAGCTCACCACGACCTCAAGTTCTTGGGCTCAAGCAATTCTCCCACCTCAGCCTCCCATGTAGCTGAGACTACAGGCACACACCACCATACCTTGCTAATTATTGTATTTTTAGTAGAGACGGGATTTCACCATGTTGGCAAGGCTGGTCTCAAACACCTGATCTCAANTTTTTTGGTAGATCTAGGGCTTTGTTATGTTATTCAGGCTGGTGTCAAACTTGTGGGTCTAAGTGATCCTCCCAACTTGGCCTCCCAAAGCTCTGGGATTATAGGCATGCCTGGCTGAGGGAAGATTTTAAATGCTCAGACTTTTACTTTTAGGGAATGTTTGTGTCACTCAATGGGACAACTAGCAGTAAACTCTATTCTCAACCATAAAACATTGCAATTTTAATTGTTGTACGGGTACAGGTGAAGGTAACATTATCTATGCAGGAAAAGCAACTAATTCAGTATGACCCTATCAATCAACATATTGATTACATAGTTGTTCTAGTTTGTGGCCTTAGTGTCTGTCAGGCAATCAACAAACACCTACTGAATGCATTCTGTGTTCAAGATCATTATACTTCCAGGGACTCTGGATCCTCAGAATGGCATTCCTACTCACTGCAGCTGCTTTTTAAAATTCTGAACTACAATCTGCCCTGGCTTCTGTTAACCAGCTGCTGTGCTAGCTGCTTGTGCTCTTTACTGCTGGCCTCCTGCCTGCCTGATTTCTGGTATCTAATAGACATCATCAGGTTTTTACTGTGCCCTCCTACCAGAGCCAGATTACTTAGCCCCATATCTTCCTCATTTTTCAACCCTCTGCCTGGCTGTGTGATGCCTTGTATTGCCTGGCCCTGACTCCTGAAAATTTTGATCCTGTGGTAGGTCTGACTTGCCATATTGTCTGGTTCTTGTGCCCTGGCCCTTGAACTCCAGACTCTCATCTTACTATTGATTCTCAAATGCTTCACCAGCTGGCATTTACTTTCACCAAACAAAAAACAAATTTCTTCCTGTTAGGCTAGCTCTCCCGCAGTGTGATGCTGAAAAGATCATGGAATTTATCTATGATAATCAGAGAAGAGCCACTTAACAAGTTGAGAAGGGCCATGTGCACATTACCCAGGCATCTCTTAAAAGGGCTCCCTGAGAGTCAGGCCAGTGCAAAGCACAGCCTTAATCAAAATGAACTAGCCCTTATTGTGCAGCCTACTGACAGCAAAATTGTCAACGGGATTGAAATCTCTACTTTAATCTATTGATAACAGTAATAGTAATAGTTTACATGTATTCATTCATTTATTCAATCAATGTCATTTAGTGCCATACGTAGTAGCTGTATGGTATGTCTCTTCCTCCATAGACCTTACATTCTAGTGGAGAGGGAGAGAAAAATAAACATTTAAACCAAAAGTTACCTAATATAATTTTATGAAGTTTCAAGTGCTACAAAGAAAAGTAAACAAGACAATAGGATAGAGAATAACTGATAAAGATACATTAGGTAGAGCAACCAAGGGAAGCCTCTCTGAAGAAGTGACATTTGAGCTCAGACCTTGATGATAAGACGGCAGCCATGTAAAGATAAGGGGACAGATCACATTCAGACCGAGGGACTCCTTAAAACACTTCTCACTTACCTCTAAAATGAACTGGAGAACAAATCCCTAGGCCTCTCAAAATACATTGTGCTCATCAAGAACAACACATTTCAAACACATGGCAAAATGCATCCATTCTTAAAGTAGCATTTCTTATGTTCTGCATGGCTTCCATGGGCTTGGGCAATGGCTAATCTATGCCACACATGAGCTGGCTGCATGTTATTGCTATTTCAGATTTCTGAATATAAAACAAAAGAAACCCTAGACAACAAAAGCATAGCATAGCAGTTATATGTTTGGATGTGAAGACTAAGAGAGGAAATAATAATTTGAGAAGCCATCTAATGTAGAATAATATAGTGGTTTTGGAAAGGCAGACAGACCTAGATTTGAATTTTGGCTCAACAATTACTAGTAAGGTATCCTTGGGCAAGTCACTCAATCTCTGAATCTCTGTTTCCTCATCAGTAACAACATTTTATAAGGATCATAATGATAATGTATGCTTGTAAAAGTACTTAACATGCTTATAAGTTCTCAATAATAGTTGAGTTCTCAATAATAAAAGTCTCAATAATAGTTGCTTAATGTATCATTAACAATGATCTGTATAAAGTGTTAATTTGAGAATCCTCAAGCTCCTCCATGCAGTTTAGAGCTATCTGGGTCCTGTGAGAGCCACAAAAGAAGTATCAGAAAAGGTAATTTGCTCTCATGTTCACTCAGCCAGCAAAGGCCAGAACTCAGATTCTAATCCAGTGCTATCTAACCCAAGCACCATATACTTAACCACTGCATTTATTGCCTCTTCATAATTAGAATGGTAAAAAATAACATGGTCTGAAGACAAAAGAGAAAGTTTGGTAGAGGAAGTAGCTCTTGAAATAAGCCTTGAAATTTTTTAGGCTATGCATAGACTGAGAAGAGGGAATGGTATTTCAGGTAGAAAAGCAAAGCATAAGACATAGAAGTGGAAACAAACAAATGGACATGGATGGTTAGCCTGTGTTAGGGAAGAGCCCAAAAAATGTGAGATCACCAGTCTATCTCTCACATATCTGGCAGCCCCTTCATTAAGCAGATCACTTTATGTTTTCTCTCTCTTTTCTTGCTCTTAGAGAATTAACTAACCTGCCCTTTGATCTTTTTTAGGCTCTTTGAGACTCTCCAGTCACTTTTCTGGTCTGTATTTGGCCTTTTAAATCTATATGTCACCAATGTGAAAGCCAGACACGAATTCACTGAGTTTGTAGGAGCTACCATGTTTGGAACGTACAACGTCATCTCCCTGGTAGTGCTGCTGAACATGCTGATTGCTATGATGAACAACTCCTACCAGCTTATTGCCGTGAGTAGCTTTGCTTTACAAGGGTGCCTACTTTGGTTTCAGGATGGGGTAAATTGGTATGGCGTCCATTAGAAGCTTAATAAAAGAGTTCGTCTGCTTCAATTAATTTACGTTAGCTTTCCTAGTTGCTACGCTGAATTATTTATTTCCAATGCAATTCAGTTTGGACTCTTGGTCTATTGAATCTTGATCATGTAATATAAGTTATTTTAGTGAATAAGATTTCTAGCTACCTATTGAAAATATTTCTAAATCTCTGAATCCATTTTCTTGCCTTAGTGGAAAACTCAGGGTTCAAACATGATTTGGCTACAACGTGTCACCTCACTCATCTCCAGGGTTAATTCAGCTGATCTGGTTCCCTAGGCAAGAGCGCCCTATCTCCCTTTTCACTGCAAACATCTCCTTCTGAAAAGTAAGAATCCCACTGACAAGAATTGTCTTCTCAGAGAGAAACAGAGAAGGGAGGAGGTTACTTTTCTCCTATTTTGAAAATTAGAGATGGGGTCCTGATATGTTGTCCAGGCTGGTCTGAAACTCCTGGCTTCAAGTGATCCTCCCACCTCAGCCTCCCAAAGTGCTGGGATTATATGCAGGAGTCACTGCACCCATCCAGTAGCTATTTTTAATTGAATATATATAAGAAACTGTACCCCATTTATTTATGTATTATACTTTAAGTTCTGGGGTACATGGGCAGAATGTGTAGGTTTGTTACATAGGTACACATGTACCATGGTGGTTTGCTGCACCCATCAACTTGTCATCTACATTAGGCATTTCTCCTGTTATCCCTCCACTTGCCCCCCACACCCCACAACAGGCCCTGGTGTGTGATGTTCCCCTCCCTATGGCCATGTGTTCTCATTGTTCAACTTCCACTTATGAATGAGAACATGTGGTGTTTGGTTTTCTGTTCTTGTGTCAGTTTGCTGAGAATGATGGTTTCAAGCTTTATCCATGTCCCTGCAAAGGACATGAACTCATCCTTTGTTATGGTTGCATAGTATTCCATGATATATATGTGCCACATTTTCTTTATCCAGTCTATCATTGATGGGCATTTGGGTTGGTTCCAAGTCTTTGTTATTGTGAACAGTGCTGCAATAAACATAGGTGTGCATGTGTCTTTAGAGTAGAATGATTTATAATCCTTTGGGTATATGCCCAGTAGTGGGATTGCTGAGTCAAATGGTATTTCTGGTTCTAGCTCCTTGAGGGATTGCCACACTGTCTTCCACAATGGTTGAACTAATTTACACTTCCACCAACAGCGTTAAAGCATTCCTATTTCTCCACAACCTCTCCAAATATCTGTTGTTTCCTGACTTTTTAATGATTGCCATTCTAACTAGTGTGAGATAGTATCTCACTGCGGTTTTCACTGCATTTATCTAATGACCAGTGAGATAAGCTTTTTTTCATGTTTGTTGGCTGCATAAATGTTTTCTTTTGAGAAGTATCTGTTCATATCCTTTGCCTACTTTTTGATGGGGTTGTTTTTTTCTTGTAAATTTGTTGAAGTTTTTGGAAGCACTCTTAAGTAGAGTCCATTGTTGATTTTTTTTTTTCACCATCTTGTTACCATTTAGATCATCAGTGTTTATTACCCTAGACTAGACATGGTGAAGGTGTAGGATACGGGATCAATTCAGGCCTTGCCCTGGTTTTTCTGTCAAAGTAGATGTCTAACTTAACTTGTTTTATTTTAATCTGTGTATAATTCCTAGAAATTGGGTTTTAGGAAAGGAGTCCTCATTACCTGAGATCTGATTTAGTCAGGTATTAGTAAATTTGAATGTTCAGTTTCTAGTATAATGCTAGATTACCCTCTCTGGGTCAGTCTGTTGCTGAAAGGTTTTGCTGTGGCAGAGAAAGCACAGAAAAAAAAGACCCAAGTCTTGTCTTCTTTTCTAGATGCTATGTATCAGATTTTTGTTTGCCACTGAGGAGTTGTTTAGCCTGTATAAAATAAGCTCAAATTATTTGTTACATAAACATATATATGTATGTATATGTGTGTGTAAATATACATATATACATACATACATACATATATATATATATATATATATATATATATGTACATGCACACACATTGTCCACGTCTTAAATATTATTGGTATTAGTGAATGTTTATGATCCATTTTCACTAAGGACAGAACCAACAAGGAATGGAGTAGGAGACTTTTGAGTTACATATTTGGGAGAAATTCCTAGCTATAAATGTCAATGAAATAAATATATTCTCACAGGTGGGTCTATAGAATTTCTGTTATTGGAGAGTTTAAAAAATTAGGATATAAAATTGTCTGCTAGGATAGTTTAGGTATTAAGCATTTAGGTGATAGGGAAGGGAGGGGATATCGTGGGGAAAAAAAAAAGATTTGAAGTTGATAAACCAGGGACTCTAATCCTTGCTCTGTCATTTATAACTGTGTGCCTTTAGTAACTTACTTTCCCCTCTTGAGCCTCAGTCTCTTCGTCCAAAAAGTGAGGGTTTTGAAATCAATGGTTTTTAATAACATTTCCAGCTCTGACATCCTATGAGCCTGGGTGCCTACAGATTAACAGGATAGGCTCACAAGGTCCTTTCTGGCTCTGAAATCATGTTCTTCTATCGCATTTGAAATGAAATATAATTCAGTTCTATTCATTTATTCCCCCTCATTCAAACAACTAGGCCAAGAACTCTGAAATGACTTGTGTTCACTGCTAGTCTATCTCTTTGATGGGGAGAGGGAGGCATAGTATCTCAGGAGTTGACTTTTTCATCCCCTCTGCCTGGCATTCTATCCTTCACCTCTGCCAAAATGGCAATATTCATGCAAAGGCATAGTAGAAAAGAGAGAGATTTTCTTGTCACCTAATGTAGGGTTGTGGTCCTTCTCACTGAGCTCAGTGACATTTTCTAGGAAGGGTGAAATCACCACCAGCTCTCATCATCACCTAGTAAGTTTTGTTTTAATGCCACCTACGGCTGCACCCAAAGGAAACTTGTTGGCTTGGGAGGGAGCCAATGGTAGATGGCTTAAATGGGGTCTATGCCATCTCATAAATCTGAACTCATGGCCAACCATTCTGAATAATATCTTTGCTGTTTTTGGATATTATGGGAGTGTGTTTTTACCACTTGGAAATAGATTCAGTGGAATCCTGATACTGGACAACCTGACTCCAAAAATATCTGGATCTGCTTAAGTGGTAAGGACCAGAAGGTAGATTTAATTTCATTTGCAACAGCTCTGCTTCAGTACTGAACACAATTTGTACAAGGTGCTTGATATAGGGGGAAAGGTTACAGAAAGGGAAACGGCTGAAGACAAATTTCTCCTATTTTAAAACATATCACAGGCTGATTCAGTCTAGGTAGGGACTGAGTTGTCAATATGCCTCACTGTGAATCTATTTTGTGTACATTCTAGGACAGTGCTCCAGAACACCAGGCAAAACCAATCCCTTAAAGGGTTAAGCTCTTTGTCAACGTTCCATGCAGGATTCAGAGCTGCTGGTAATGTGGACATACAGCTCTGTAGCAATTTGTATTTCCATGTCAGAGGAGGCTCCACCTCAGTAGTGTATAGAGTTATGCTTAAGATAAAGTGAAAAAGGAATCCTTCCAGGCCTATGCTCTGTGGTCCCAGCATCAGCAGGTGAAGCTGCCCATAGTGTATATTATTATTGTTATTAGCAATTAGCAGTGATTTACTTCTCCTTTTATTCTTATATCTCCCTCAATCTCCTGATTACTCTCAATGACAGTTTTTAAAATACATCTATCTTGTCACTGCTGTCACTGATGTATAGGCACAAACTCCATCAAGCAAGCTGCCCTTGGTGCCATTTTAGTCAGATTCATCCATTAAAAAATATTAGGTGGAAGATATAAGATCAATCCCACAAAGTTCATTACCTTAGGCCCTATTCCTACCCCCTACCCCACCCACAATGGACATCTCTGTTGCCTGACATTAGTCTTTCCAATTATAGTGCCCATAATCGTCTGTGATAAAGCCTCATTCAGTAAGTTAATAAGAACCCTTGGTTTCTTTGGCTGCTGTGGAGTATTTGTTCTAATGCTGAAAGTAAGTAAAAAGTACTTGCCTCACTGAACCACAGCTGCTGGATGGCTTGGGGAGAGTCCAAATATATATAATTGGTTGTCTCCCTTAGGGTGGCAGCATTTGGAGGCCAAGATGATTAATGGAGTCTCCCACTGTGGAAGACATTGATGCAAATGAAGACATTCATCTGAACAAATCTGGTACCACAAGATAGCAGGAAAGACTAGAGAGGGCTGTTGTGTACCATCTAAATGTCAAGAAGGGCAGGTGGTCTCCCTACCCACATCCAGTCATCTAGGACCAACCTCAGATTCTCAAAGCCGAGACTATCAAAGCAGAGACTCTCAAAGCAGCACTTCACACACTATACCATGATTTTTAACCCTCTAACCAGGACTGATAACCAACTGCTATGCACTGATATGGCTACTCAACTGTTAAAATATTGAAATATTTCCATACCATTTGGTAAATAGCTACCACTCCAGTTGTACCTCCTGGGACACACCCAGACCTCCCTACAATCCAGCAAGTAAGGGGCAACATCTGGAATAGCCAGTAGAATCTAGGACTCTGTTCCAGAACTATAACTGGCCTCCATTTGGATTTACTGGTTTCTTAAATAGTTTGAATATCACTACAGTAGGCAAAACCCTAAAATGCTCCCCCTAGGTTTCCCACTCTAATCATCAAGACTATGAATATGAAGAGATATCACACTTGTGATTACATTGTATTACGTGGTGAAAGGGATTTTGCAGATGTAATTAAAGTTAGTATTCAGGGAGATTATCCAGGTAGGCCTAATCTAATCACATGAGTCTTAGAAGCAGAGTTTTCTCCAATTGGTAGCAGAAGGAAAAGCACACAGATCTTACATGCTGGCAGGTGAGAGAGAGCAAGAGGGAAGGGGGAAGAGATCCTTATAAAACCATC